GCTTGGCGCGCCCATCCACCGAGCAGTTTCACGGAAACACGGACCGTGCATCCTTCGCTGACCGCAGAATGGCGGCTACGAAAATGATAAACGTGCAAGCAGTGAAGCATTTCACAGTCCGTCCACCCATCGTGATCGATTTACCAGCTCGTTGATGGCCATGGTATGTTGTTTCGGTGGTATTCACCGGTCACTCGCGATGCCTTGGAAACTCCGTACAGCAATGAAACGCTATCGAAATCACCGGCCTGCAGACCTGCAGTGCACAGTTGCAAGCGATTGCCCACGACGACGGGAACTGGCCGTGTCTGGCGTCGGCTGGCGGCCTAGTGTGTGGCCCAGCGCAGCAGGGCAGGGCAGGACGGGACTGCGGCACTTCTGGCTGGTACCTGTCAGCGGGGGCAGAGCACGCGGTCCACACTGCCGAGCGAGCTCGTGACCCCCGGCTTGGCGCCTCGCTGTGGGACAAGAGGAAAATACCGACGCTTGGTTCTGCAGTAGTGAAAGGTATTCGCTACATTTAGCCACTCAGCAGCTATATCGGAGCCATCTTCGATGGTCTCGCGGGCAGATGTGGAGTGTGCGTCGCAGCGGCGTGCGTACTTCTCCGCAAATGCGCCGGACGGCCCCCTAGGCTTCTGGCACCCATTCTCACACCTGTCAAATGCGCTGAATAATAGATCAATGGCCTGTGGGCCCACCACAAGTTCCCGGTTCTGTGCAGGTGGCATTCACACATTCCCATCACACGTCCTTCGCACCCCACGGGGTGCCAACATACTGCCCCATTCACCCTTCTCAGACGAACCATGGCTCTTGAGGGCGCAGTTACTGTGCCGCACGCCCTCCGCAAATCCGAGTGTGATCGCGTTATAACGCAAATCCGAACGTTTGCAAATAGATAACGGATCTACCGCTGGCGTAATCAGCGTATTTGCAAAGGGTTTCGGTACTTGCTCCTGGCGACGAAATGCAGTGTCCATGTGAATTGCACCATGTAGGTGTTGAGGGAGCGATTTCATGCAAGGTTTTATTTCGTAAATAGAGCTATCTTCAATAACAATTGCATGAAGTTCGTTCCCACTTTACTTGGCACGCAAATCGTGGGTTGTCGTGCACTCCTGGTTGGCAATCGTTCTTTACCTGCGTCGTCAGCAAACTACGCCTATCAATTGCAAACATCACTGACAATCGCGTGCCTGAGCATGGTCCTTCGCACCTGGCCCAGTACGCCGCGGCTAGCCTCGCCGTACTCGTTTGAAAGAGTTTCTTGTAGAGCCTTCTCATCCTCTAAGGACGCGACGACAGTAAAAACCGCATTGGTAGGGAAAGGAATGCGGGCAAAGTGCAGGCCATAAGCATCCGCCAAATCGTAAGTGGTCCAAGGACAGATGTAAATCTCTGAGGACGCCACTGCACCGTGCGTGTGACGCGTCTTCCTCAGCCCAATATCGTACAGCTCACCGGCGTAAACTGAGCCTGGAGGCTCCATCTCTATTAAGTATACCGGTGATGACTTGTGTCAAACAACCGCGTGCGCTGGCATCACACGGCATTTAACCGCCCGGCACTTGGCGGACGGGAACCAGTCGAATCCACAGACTCACACTTCTCTGTTATATTCGAAAACCATCAGCATCTGCAGCTTCTGCCATCATGTCCTGATGAAGCCCTCGGTCGCCGCCTGAGCCGGCGCTGACTCGGCCGGCTACGGTCGCCATATGGCCCCGCTGGCGCCGGCACCGGCGCATGCCGCTTACCGTTTCCAGCATGCTGGACGTGTCCCACATGTCACGCATGTCGCCGCTGCTCAACTCCAGCATGTCGTCCTCCATGTCGAGCACGTCCATGGCGCGCGCGTGCGCCGGTCCCGGCTGTCCGCTCGCTGCGCCCGCCGTCCGCTCTCACCACCCGGCCACCGTCCGCACACTGGCGCTCCACGTGCGGCCAAGCATCGACCTCTGCGACGGCCGCGCGGCCAGCGCCACCTGTCGGCCGTCAGGGGGCGTGCGCAGGTCGTTCCCCTGCCGCCGCCGCCGGCGGCGGCGGTCCGCGACACGCGCTAGACGCGCACATGACGGCTGCGGAGAGGCTCCGACAGCGGAGGTGCCGGGATGCTTGGCCATAAAGGGGGTCCTACATGGGAGGGGCCTTGCGTGACATGGGACTGTCTCGCTGGGGCGTCACTGTCTCAGCATGGCATGGGAACGACGCCCGTTGGGATGGGATCGTCACACGATAGCATGGAAACTGTTCATGGTGACATGTGACGGTATTCCTGTGATTTGAGAACGTTTCCAAATGGTATGGCAGTGTCGTCAGGTGACTTGCAGTACCATGTCGATTTGCAATAAAACCATGGGAATGACTTCATGACACTGCGTCACGGTGAAATCGGAATGGCTAGTAATGGCATCGGGTTACACCCATGGCATACGGACGTCTCTAGATCCTAATGGCATCGGGTTACACCCATGGCACACGGATGTCTCCGGATCCTAATGGCATCGGGTTACACCCATGACGTACGGACGTCTCCGGATCCTAATGGCATCGGGTTACACCTATGGCATGCGAACGTCTCCGGATCCTAATGGCATCGGGTTACACCCATGGCGTACGGACGTCTCCGAATCCTAATGCCATCGGGTTACACCTATGGCGTACGGACGTCTCCGGATCCTAATGCCATCGGGTTGCACCCATGGCATACGGACGTCTCCAGATCCTAATGGCATCGGGTTAAACCCATGGCATACGGACGTCTCCAGATCCTAATGGCATCGGGTTAAACCCATGGCATACGGACGTCTCCGGATCGTAATGCCATCGGGTTACACCCATGGCATACGGACGTCTCCGGATCCTAATGGCATCGGGATACACCCATGGCATGCGAACGTCTCCGGATCCTAATGGCATCGGGTTACACCCATGCCGTACGGACGTCTCCGGATCCTAATGGCATCGGGTTACACCCATGGCATGCGAACGTCTCCGGATCCTAATGGCATCGGGTTACACCCATGGCGTACGGACGTCTCCGGATCCTAGTGTCATCG